GTCTCACTGTGACCCCATTGACTACAAAGTCTGTGGAATTCTCCAGGCCAGAATACCGGAGTGGGTAGCCTTTCCCTTCTCCAGGGGATCTTCCCAACCCATGGATCACACCCAGGTCTCCTGCATTGCAGGAGGATTCTTTACCAGCTAAGCCACCAAGGAAGCCCAAGAATACGGGAGTGGGTAACCTATTCCTTCTCCAGTGGATCTTTCCAACCCGGGAATCAAACCAGGGAATCCTGCATTGCAGGAGGATTCTTTACCAACTGAGCTATCAGGGAAATCCATTAATCACCTATATGTCAATGATTTTTTTTTTTAATTTTGTAAAAGCATTCTTGGATGTGAGGACATGTCCTTTGTTTCCTTGTGGGAAATGGCTAACGTAATCTATAGTCAGGCAGGTGGAAGGCTCAAGGTATTTCAACTGCCCTCTGGAGGGTATTCTCTGGAAAGATGGAAGTTTCCAGAAATCTGCAGGCGGCAGAATAGGAGACAGCCATCCCTATAGGCTTCCAAGAGTCAAATGTCAGCAATTTCCTATGGCTCAATCTAATAAAAGAGACCAAGGACTTGAACCCCCTCATAGGACATGGGGTAATTAAACAATTTCACAGATTAGTCCTTAGGAATTTAATTCCAAGCATGAGGGGACATAAGGTTCAAAAAAACCTGGTTATCTATTATGCACTGAATTGTGTCCATCCCTGTCCCCTCAATTCACATGTTAGTCCTAACCCTTAGTACTTCAGCATGTGACCTCACTTACAAGTAATTTTTGTTTTTTTTTCAGAAGTAATTACTTCAGGTGAGGTCATGCTGGAGCAGGGTGGACCCCTAACTCAATGTGACGGTGTCTTTATAAAAATAAACTTTGGACACAGAGACATGCACATATGGGGGAACACCACATCAAGATGAGAGTTATGGGGTCACAAGCCAATGAGCCACGAAAGCAAGGCCTGGAACGCGCCTCTCCCAGCAGCTTCAGAGATGGTGAGGCCCTGCCAACACCTCTGGAGCTCTGAGGTTACACGTTTCTGATGGTGAAGCCACTCAGATTGTGGCGCTTCGTTAGAGCAGTTCTAGCAAATTAACATGTGGCCTAAGAGGGCTGTGCTCCTTTGGAAAGAAAGGCCAAGGCTGGCTCTACATCCAGCAACTCAGGGCCTCACAGAACACATTTCCCCAGGTCTGAGTGTGGCTGTCCATGGAAGGGAGGAGGGACCCAGGTGAGTGTCCGGATTCTCTACGATAATGCTAAAAATCCAAAAGCCCATGTCTGTGCCCAGCTCCATGTTTTCCAAAGCCAGTGGATCCTATGGCACTGGGAGCGGGAAGGCAAAAAATTAGGAGTGAAATTACATCTCTATATCTTCTAGGCCCAGAAGGGTTTCCTGTAGTGCCTCCTAGGAAGCCTTCACATTCTGTGCCATCTTTGGGTTTAACTCACTGCTTGGAAAGATCTTGAATATTTGATTTTGGAGAAGTGTTTTCTGTCCTTTCTATTCTGTGCATGTGAAAATGAAGTTGTGATTTGATACTCAAAAGGAAAAGTAGATTATTTTGCTGGTAAATAGGTTTTTTTGGATCAACGATTTGGAGAAGTGAAGGCTGGAATTGGTTGCCAGGAGGCAGAGCATCCATCTCCAACAGATGAGAGTGATTCTCTGCAAACTGCGCTGAGTGTGATGATGTTAAGATAACCAACTACACATTTTCCATGTGGATCTTTAAAACACAATATCAAATGTAAAATCTGCTGGTACGTGGCCTCCAGAGAGAACACGTTTTTTTTCCTTTCCAATCTAGATTGTTGTAAGGAGCTCTAGTTCCGACGGCTTTAGCAGTTGACAGAGCCTATCAAATTTTTATTACAATCCCCAGAGCTGGAGACAATGCAGATCAGTTTACTGGATTGTGAGCAGATTTTCCTTGAGGGGAAGAATATATGCTCAGCATTGTTGCTTCTTTGCAAACAGTCTTGCAGGATGGGAGCAGCTGTTCTGCAAATTATTTTTTTGATGGAGAGGGAAGTCTACCTTTTACTCATTGTGTCCTCAAGAGAGCAGGCAAAAATGCATAGAAACACACTTTTGGAATTGTCCCCATCTCCCTCCTTGGGCTCTCTGTTCCTTGCTTCCTTTTTTCTTCCCTAATTCCATTCTTGATCTGTGCTGTGAGAGGAGAGGGCTTTTTAGGCCTGAGTTTCTTCCTTTGATGATAAGGAAAGTGTAGAGGAAAATATCAACTGTCGTACAGGGGCCAAAGGCAATTCCTTTGCCGTTGAGGATTTCTGGTGCAAGGGAATGAGCCAGAAACTTTTTCAGGTGAGAACAGAGAGGGGAGGTGTCTTAGTGATTGATCTGCCACCCATCCCTCGGGGTAGCTGCTTCAGCAGAATCCTGGCTGCAGGACGGTTGGAGCTACCGCAAGTTGAGGTGCCGAGGCCCAGGACTCAAATGCAGATGTTATGTCAATCAATGCCAATTTGGCCAGGAAGATTATTTTAACCTTGGAATGTCACTTTATGTGTTTCAACAGAAGGTTCATTACTTAATCTCCAGGAAAGTTTCACTCAGGACCCAGTTTCTCTCTGGGCTTATTTGGAGAGCCAGACCATCAGGCATGTGATGAATTGCAAATTGAAACAACTTCAGCATCCCCAGTAGGTAGGGGTGGCATGGGGTGGGTGTGGACACACCAAGTGAAAACCACAAATCACTCGCCGTGGTGTGTTTGCCCCTTTATTTTGTGGAACTGAGGGTGAGGAGGCGGTGGTTACAACCCAGAAAGGGAGTCAGGATAGGTGTAGGTTTGGGGAAGGTGGGCTACACCTCCTCCATCCATCCTGTAGGCTGACCTCAGAGAACAGCCTGATCTCAGTGGAAGACCCTAACTACTCTCAGAAGGAAACAGTGGAGCTTTTGGAAAGTTCCCTTCCATTAATTTCCAGGTGGGTCTAAAGACTTCTGATGTTACATGGTAACGATGTTTCATCTGGGGAAGAGAAGCTAAGCTCTCCCCTGTTTACACAGCCATGCTCTGATTCTGAGGTCATCTTCTGAGCACAGGTACACTAAATACCTTGAGCCCCAGTCTTCTAAGGGTAGTAACAACAGCCAGAGTTCTCTTAGGTGTTGCTGTTGTTTAGTTTCTAAGTCATGTCCACTGTTTGGCGACCCGTTGTAGCTCTCTAGGGTCCCTTATCCACGGATTCTCCAGGCAAGAGTGCTGGAGTGGGCTGCTATTTCCTTCTCCAAGGGATCTTCCTGACCCAGGGATCGAACTGTGTCTCCTGCGTTGCAGGCAGATTTTTTACTGCAGGGCCACCAGGAAAGCCCTCTTTTAAGTGAGGCAACAGCTAAATTCAAAGAACTGGTTTGCTGTCAGAAAGATTCTCCACTCACCTGCCCTGGTCAGCCCTATTTTGGCGGAAATAAAATCTTAAAGTTAAAAAATTTATGTTCTCAACTTTAAACTCTAAAATATAAATGCACTATATATCTTCATTAAAGGGAAAACTGACTCATTGGCAAGATAAACTATGTATAGAAGTGGTGTTAAGAGACTTGTGTACAGATATGAGCATTAAAAGCTGTGCAACTCACAGCAAGTATTCAAGTAGCTAAGTAGCAACTTGGTAAATTTTATACTAAGGGTGGTAGTAATATATTGTAGTCTTCAAGTTTTTAGCTGACACTGTGACATCAGAGCAACTCATTCTCATTGTTTTGAAGTATTTACACTAAACCCTGTTTTGTACCAATAGATGTAATTACAGAAACACACCATATCCTAATTGATTAATTTTAGATATGCTTCTCTCACTTGTTTTCATGGAGGCCAAGGCTTATGGTTTTGAAAAGCTAGTATAGATAGACCTATTCAGAAAATGTTTACTAAAGAATCATAAAATATACCTCAAACATTCTTCCTAACATACATTAGAATAATGAACATTCCTTTCCATTTTCCCTGGAAAATCCAAGTAAATGAGAAAATTTAAGACAGGATTATTCAGGAAGTGGAAGAGACTTTCCAAGCTTTTGATTTTAAATTTATCAGCCACAAACAATCCATGTCTTCATGGTGAACTTAATCTGATGAAAGAAGAATTGGGGCTTGGAATTAATTAGCGTGTCATTTAACAAACGTTTTTCTGATCACCTGCCACTTTTGAGGGCTCTGCTGGTATGGGCATCGTGTTTCTTTGGGATTTTAAACAAAGGAGCAAGAGCAGTCAACAGGAAGGGAGACCAGGAACACAGGAGAGACATAAAGGGGAGTGGCTCCACATCTGCAGCTTATCAATGATACAGTGTGATGCTAGAAGGGATCTGAGTCAGCGGCTGGAATGCCCCACACAAAGTGATCAGATCCCAAACGTGACGGATGATGAGTCACTCGATGGTCTCACTTGGGTGTCTGAGTCCCACTCGGCTGCTCACACCCATTCTTCTCCATCTGCTGTGCTTCCTGGCAGAACTGGGGGCAAAGCTCTCGGGCCCTTCCAGATCATATTCCATCCAAACCAACTGTAATTTAAAACCTTGGGGAAGTTAAAGTGGCTCCTTCCTAAAAGGTGGGAGATTTCAGTCTTGACCTAGAGTGTATCAACCTTTGTTTGAGATTTTAGTGTAGCACCTGGTAGTTTGGTGAGAAATCTATCACCTGTTGCACTACCCAGAGTTCTAAGAAAGTAAATAACCTCTTTCTGCCCTCAGGGAAACTAAACATATGATGCTATCACTGGTGAAACATGGTTTTGCATTAAGTTTTTTACATGAAGTTTTGCAAACTTTGAAATGAATTTTTTAAAAATCCTGGTTTTGTAAAAAGATGCTGAGCAAAATAGCTTTTTGGAAATATATTTTAATTATAGAAAGATGTTAAGCACATGTGATTACGCTTCAAGGTCTGAGCAGTTAGCAATTATTTTTCAAATATCACACCACATAAAATCTCTGTATTCAAGATGTGAGTGAAAGAAACCATACCTTGTGATAATATCCATCAAGAGTCTGTGGCATTCCTTGTACTCCAGGGGGTCCCTGTATTAGAAACAAATCAAAGGCATATATAAACATTTATCAAAATAATGTATATGTAAATAACATGCCTAAGAATTCTTGAAATCTTACAGGTAAGAAAAAGGAAGAGTCTGTTTAAGTCAAGTATTCTTATTAATAGAGAATTACATGGACATTAACTTATCAGGTTCTCAAATATATTTCTAGGTTAAATCCTACCTGAATCCAAAGAAAGGTCCTAACTGGGAACATGTAACATATTACTAGACAGTCAGTCATCAGCATATTCTTTATTGAAAGGAATTGTACCCATAAAACTCCTCAAGGGAAAAGCTGAAGAGCTCCAGTTTATTGTTGACACTTCTTAGAAGCCTTTGATCAACGTGTTATAGAAATAAATGTGTGCCGTCCATGTGTTATGGAAAAGCAGTTTTCTTTTTTCCTATTGCTTCTTTTTGAATTAGCTGGATAAAAATGGGCTGCCCATGAACCTTCAGGCCACAAAAAGATATTTGCTATATAATGTCAGGTTTAAGACATTTAAGTACATGTGGTTTTCAGTTGACATGGAGATATTCATGAAGCACTATGCTGAGCTGCAGGCAGATACAAAGGAAGTAAAGAAACCAGTATCTCCCTAAAACTTTCAGGAAGAGAGAAGGGGAGCACTTTCTGAGTTTTTCAAGGATTACATTTTGGGGAGAGGGGTATAAGAAAATGCAAAGATTAGCATGATTTTAATTCAAGTAGTTCAGGCTAAGATAGATTCAGCTATCTAAGAAAAGAGACTACATATTTCACCTACACTTCAAAAGCTTCTAGGAGGAGAGAAAGTGCTAGAGAAGCAAAGTTCTCACAAGGCAAGATGCCACAGGACCGTGACTGAGCAAAGCAAAGTCACTATTATACAAAGATTATTATTTTAAAAAGGGAACAAAAGCTTTGAAAAGTGAAGAAACATTTTAAGAGGCAAGCATTATGGAGAACAATATGGAGGTTCCTTAAAGAACTAAAAATAGAGTTGCTGTATGATCCAGCAACCCCACTCCTGGGCATACTTCCGGAGAAAAATATAATTCAAAAAGATCCATGCACCCCAATGTTCACAGCAGCATTTTTCACAATAGCCAAGGCCTGGCTAAGTGTTCACTGGGCTTCCTTGCTGGCTCAAATGGTAAAGAATCTGCCTGCAATGTGGGAGACCCAAGGTTGATCCCTGGGTCAGGAAGATCTTCTGGAGAAGGGAATGGCAACCCAAGTGTCCACTGACAGGTGAATGGATAAAAAAGATGTGGTACATGTACAACAGAATATTATTCAGCCATTGAAAGGGGTGAAATAATGCCATTTGCAGCTACATGGACGGACCTAGAGAGTGTCATACTGAGTGAAGTCAGACAGAGAAGGACAAATACCAGATGCCATCCCTTATAGGTGGACTCTAAAAAATGACACGAATAGACTTATCCACCAAACAGAAACAGACTCACAGAGAACAGACTTGTGGTTGACAGGCGGGGAGAGGGCTGGATTGGGAGTTTGGGATTAGAAGATGTAAACTATTACATACAGAATAGATAAATAACAGGTCCTACTGCATAGCACAGGGGACTATATTTGATATATCCTGTGATAAACCATAATGGAAAAGAATATGAAAATTATAAAAATGAATCACTTTGCTGTACACCAGAAACTAACCCAACATTGTATACCCACTACAATTTAAAAAAAGAAATATTTTAAGAAACATTTGCTCTCTGTACTCACTGATATAGGTAACACCTTAAGTATACTGAAAAAGATTAACATTGGTCAACATTTATGACAGGTATTTCTTATGAACGGCCTGTGACATCTCTTCTAACATGAATCCTTTGCTTGTGCCATTAAACGTTAAGGACAGGAAGATGTAATGATGGATGATGGAATCAGGGTGGTGTAACTTGTGAGAAAATAATAGGCCTTGTGAGGAATGGAGCTTACTGCAGTTGGAAAGACAAATGGCTCTGTTACCTTGCTGGAATCAAAACAGAGCTAATGTCAGAAAAGAATTCTCAAGGCGTTATATATTTTTCAGGTTCTCTTCCCATCAGCCAGCTTTGCGTGATGTATTCTAGGTCAGGTAGCTGAAGTGAGGAGGAAAGCAATCACTGAGTTGGGGTTATTTCACAAAGTGTCCAGCCAAGAAGGTGCAGGTTAGGAACTCATTCTTGAAACTCAGCAGACAGGAGACTCCATACTGATCCTTCTGTAACTATTTTTAATGGGGCAAGCAGAAATCTTAGATATCATATATATCTAGCAGTAGCCACAACAGGTAGCTTAGGGGTATATGCATGGTAGGCATTTGGTGAATGGTGAATGTTTGTTGATCATAAGGCCAATTAGATCAAAGAATAGTGATGTGGTGGGTAAATTTAGTTTCAGACACATTCATCTTAACTAAAAGTGAAAGGCTGAACAATTAAGGTGCCAAATATAGCAGAGCAATTAATAACATCTCTCAACTAGAGCATAAGAATCAATCAAATAATAATAGCAGACATTTATATAGTATGTATTGCGTGCCAGGCATTACACCAGGGTTTCAAATAGACTAACTCATTTAATCTCTACAACGACACCACAAGGTACCTACTCTCATTATTTTCAATCCAAAGGTACAGAAAATGAGCATTTGGAATGGTTAGCTGGCCCAAGGTCACATGACTGGTAAGCGGTAGGGCTAATACTAAACGGAGGCAGCCTGGGTCCAAACTCACTTTTTATTTACTCTGCTCTTTTAACGTAAAGCAGACTCTCAGCCTAAAATAATCTTGGGGGTAATTTTTTGTCATGCTGACCGTGACCTGAAGAATACAGGGTGTTTGACTGCTCTTGCCTGTTTTACTTACAATACTGAAATTGAAAATAAAATAGGCCAAACTGGGCTTAGCACTTCACATGAGGGAGCACCGTGCCTGGCACAGTCTCTGGGGGCAGTGCTGCTGGAGGGCTGAGCGAGGCCTCTCTCCATGTCCCAAATCTATCTTCATATATTCTCTCCAGTCATGATAAGGAGATTTTGCCTGGATATCCCCCTAGATACTGCCCTATCACAACTATACTCAAAATGCATCTCATCTTCCTTTGCAGAGCTTGACCGAGAAGGTGGTCAGAGGGCATTGCAGAGGGCCTCTGGAAGGGTCTGGGAGGACGCGGTGTGGTAGGGACTGCACAGCACAGGACAGGTGGCATGGTGGATGAGGACAGTAAAAATAATGGGATGGGGCTAACCTTTTAGAAAATTGGGTGAGAACTGGCTCTGGTCTTTCACAGACTGTTTATCTGTCTGCGGCATGCACCTGTTTTCCGTGAATACAGAATGCATTCTTCACCCAGAAGCCTGTTCCTGTGGGTGAGCACACCCCCCAGGGCGAGGCAGGGGAGCCCAGGGCCATTCTTCCCTCTAAAAACAATAACAAGAGCAGAGCTGGCCGAACAGGGTCACTGGTCAGCAGAAAAGTCTGAACAACATTATTCAGATACCCACAAGACTGATAAACCTACAAGTTACTTCCACACTCTGTCATGTCCTGTTCTTGCCATAAAATGTCAGACTCATACAGCCGTCTTCCAAATGAGGCTAACCAGAAATTTTAGGCTCTGGGGCTTCATCTGCTGATGAGCACTTATGATGACTTTTTTTCTTGTTCTTTCAGTCCCTAGGATACTTTGGGGAGCACAAATTCCAAACATAATGTAACAGAGATTTACAGCTAACAGTCCAGCCTGCAGGCAGCACTTCACACAAACTCTCCCAGAGGACAGGAAAACCCTGCGGTGACTGGCAGAAGAGCCGGGATTGGGGCCTCTGTCCTGCCTGACTGCAGTCAGGGCTGAAGTGCCTCCCTGCGCTGCTCAACCTCCACCAAGACGGGGATAGTGGCCACAGAGAAACAGCATGCACGCAAGTGCCAAAAGCAGTCCTCTGCTGACTGTAAGAGAAACAACATAGACCCCGGGGTCCCGGAATCAGTGGTTGTCCTATAGCCACATCCCCTAGAGATGTGCTATTTTTCTATTTTCCGTGCTGATACAAAGCATGGCTAGAGGAGAGCCAGACTCATTTATTTCCAAGTTTATTAAGAGCTGTCAGTCCTGCAGATCATCAACAAAGCATGAGGAGGAAGACGTGAAAGACACGTGTAAGTGACTAACCCTCAGGCGTCACATGGCGTCAGTAGCTGCTCCTGGCTGCTCAAGAGGTGACTTTCTCTGAGGAAGATCCCCTGGAGGAGGGCATGGCAACCCACTCCAGCATTCTTGCCTGGAGAATCCCATGGACGGGGGAGCCTGTGGGCTACAGTCCACAGGGTCTCAAAGAGTCGGACATGACTGAAGTGACAGCTTACAGGCATGGCAAGGAGATATGCTTGGGTAACTCAGTCCCAGAAGAGGGGCCAGCCATGGAGGGCATGTTAGCCTTGGCTAGTGTTCTCAGGGGCTCTACTAGGAAAACCAGTTGAAGGTTTATGGAGAAGAAACATGTCCTGACATCCTGTCCCTGACAATGACTTGCAGCGCAGTTATACGGATATCATGGCTACATAACTTCTGTCTCACGCCACTCTGCTGCTGCTGCTGCTGCTGCTGCTGCTGCTAGGTCGCTTCAGTCGTGTCCGACTCTGTGCGACCCCATAGACGGTGGCCCACCGGGCTCCCCCATCCCTGGGATTCTCCAGGCAAGAGCACTGGAGTGGGTTGCCATTTCCTTCTCCAATGCAGGCAAGTGAAAAGTGAAAGTGAAGTCGCTCAGTCGTGTCCGACTCTTAGTGACCCCATAGACCGCAGCCCACCAGGCTCCTCTGTCCATGGGATTTTCCAGGCAAGAGTACTGGAGTGGGGTGCCATTGCCTTGTCCGGTCCCACCCTGCTTCGCTCTATTTGTGTTGGATTGGGATACACAGGACATGTGGGCTAATGTGATAATTACACAACCACACAGCAGTTTTGAAACACTCATGAACTCCAGCGAG